GAATTAACGAATGTGTGAAATTGCTTAAGGTGGCTAATGGAGCCCGAGTCTAGTGTGATTGGTGATTTACTGTTATTTGGCCTGTTTACAGCTTTAAATGCAAAATGAGGTTTGATGTGTTCATTTTACAGATTTGTGTGCATATACTACGTTTTTATTAATCATGGGTTGAATGACTGAAAAATTGATACTGTATGTTGTCTGTTTGGCATGAATTACTGTTTTGCTTGTTTGTATGTGAATTGATGATGCTGACTGAGGAAAAGGAAAATGAAAGATTGTGTAGACTGATAATTGTATTATGGGGGTCAGCCTGACTAGAGATGGTGGACGGACCGGGTCCGTAGGGAACCCTACCGGGATTGTGGTCTCACATGCCGGACGGGGTATGGAGATCTTATGGTTTTGGCGCCCATACCGGACGGGGTATGGGGACGGCCCGTTTCACCCTCATACCGGACGGGGTATTGAGGTTCATGGTTTTGGCGCTCATACCGGACGGGGTATGGGGACGGCCCTGGAAACTGATTATGAATGTTAAAGGTTAACGGGTAGCGGAACCCCTATGGACCCCCACGGATACTAGTAGGCTGGTAAATGAGAAAAGAATATGTTGTACAATGATTGAATTACAAGAGGCGTGATAAGTGTTATGTTTTACAGCTTATATTATTCAATAATTATGATAATGTTATTATTTTTCTTATATTGTTTTCATAAATTCCACCGAGGTAAGTGGATGGTAAAGGTTTTCATGTTAATAAACGAGTTTGTTGTAAATTATGCTCCATTGGTCTTTTTGTGTTTTTCCACCCACCTTTACCTCCGTGACGGTGAGATATCGTGATGTTCTTACTAGGCTAGTGTAGCTCACTCCTTATTTAACCATTTCAGATCAGGAAGACATGGTTCCCGAGCCCGTTCCGCAGGAGGACGACGAAGGGGATACCTAGAGACTCTGTAGTGATACTCATAGTTTTATTTTCGAGTTTCTCTCTTAGTTAGTTTAATCTTTTATATTTTAAGTACGTTTTTGGTTTTTCGTGTAAGGGATGTTAACTGAAATTTTGATCTCGCTTCCGCATTTGATATATTTAAATACCCATTTCACTTTAATATTTCCGGGGCCGTTATATATAATATTATAAATAGAATAAATTTGTTGTATATAAATAAATTTGGTTTGAAAAGAAGCTGGTAATAGAAAGGGAAGACAGAGTCGTGAATTTTGAGAATTTTTTTGAGAATGTTAACGGTAAATTGCCAAAACCCCACAAACACTTTTGTAATTGAATTGGGTCCCTCTCTGTTTATATTTATATTTATTTTTTTAAGGAAAGATCTCTCTGTAATTATTTTGTCAGTGTATGTATGTACATATTATGTGTTGATGCATGCATATATATATATATATATATGTATATGTGTGTGTTAGGATATGAATCAAGAGGTTAGTGAACGTAAATTAATAAACATATTCGTAAAAAATATTATTAACTTTCTACTACACAATTTTTTTTATTAACTTTTATAAAAAAATATATTTATTTATAACTTTTACTTTTATATAATTTTACTTAAAAATATTTATATTTAAAACATTTGACTTAGATTTCTGTACTTTGACAGTAAAAACAAATGTTTAACCAAAATTATTGTCACATGAATACTGCAAAACTAAGAATACTTTACAAAATCACATTTTTGTTTTTACTTTTATTTTCTAAATATTATTCGATCGAGTTTTCTTAATTTTTATCTCGACAACTTATAAAAATTTCTATAATTTCGGATCTAATCGCAATTTAATTATTAATTGTAGAAATATATAATATTTGTAATTTAAATAAATTTACATTTCAGTAAAATAAATTAAGAAATATTTAAAAATTGATGACATCAATTTGAAAGATTTAAAAAATCTTAATGAATTTTAAAGAAATTTAACAAAGATCATATACCTATAAATCTAATTCCAAAGTTAAAAATCTTAAACATGAGTTTATAAGAATTTCAAATGTTTTAAAAGAAGTATAAGCCACAAAACAACGTATTAAAAAATAAAAACTAATAAGATATAATTTTTTTTTTTTATAGTTTAAATTAAAAAATATGATCATACTGAACTAAAATAGTTCGAATAAAAAATTAATCAAATTAAATAAAATTAAATAATGTTTCACTCAACTGTTAGTACAGACAATAAGAAATAAAAAAAAAATCAATCTATTTAATTCAATCTCAATTCAAATTGAAAAAATACAAATATAAAAATATTTTATTAAATTTTAATGAAAAAATTAAAAAAAAAAATTTAGTCCGTTTTGCTTTAGTTTTTGATTCATATCCTAACTTTTCATTGATCATATTTTCATATTTGTTTAAAATTTATGCAATTGATCTATACATTTTTAATGTCGCTACACCATTACGTGTTATATGTAATTGTGTTTATATATATATATATATATATTTTTCTCTCTAAATTTGTTACGTAACTATTGTTTTGTTGTTAACAATATTTTACGAGACTTAAATATATTTTTGGTTTATTTATTATTATTATTTTTTTTTGTTTTGATATCTTCACTAATTTTGTGTTAAATTAAACTTAGTATTTTTATAAAATATTTAAATTAGTCTTTTTTTGTAGATGTTGTTTATATTTATTCAATGTGGTTGTTGATCTTGCCACATAGTTTAAAAAAATATTCACAATAACTTGAACTATGATAGACATAAAAAATAGAGAGAACATAAGAGAAAAAAAAAAGTTATTTATTAGTTTATAAAAAAAAACTTATATATATATATATATATATATTATATGCTATATAACGTTTACGTGGGAGTCATGTAGATATATTTAAAACTACATAAAATAAAAATAAATGATATTTAAATCCACTGATAGAGAGATTAATTTAAATAATTTTTGAAAATAGAAATACTAATTTTATCATAAAATCAGGGTAGAAAAAAAAGATTAAACAAAATAAAAAAAAAAAAATCCAAGAACAAAAGAAATGTATTTAAACCTGAGGAAAGAGCAAATTCTTGTTGTGTGGAAATGAAATATGTGAATGGTGGTCCAACATTGCATGCTTGTTTCATAAATTTTAATTAATTATTATTTAACCGAATGTTTGGTAAATATTATATATTTTTATAGTTTGTAAAAAAAAAAAAAAAAAAAAAAAAAAAAGAGAAGCCAAGGTTACTTACTAGTAGAAAACATCCCTTATTTTAAAAAAAGAAATTTTGTGGTAACTTTTCTTTTTACCAAACAAAGAGATTATTGTATATGTGAATGAACCGTGTCTAATTAACATTCTTTATAAAATTTCTGTCTTAATTTTTACAAAAGGCATAAAATTATTATATTTGGATACATTGTGTTTTGTTTTTGTTTCTTTTTTGAAAGAAAAAAAATAGAAATTATTTTCTTAATAATAATTCCTTTAGTTACTCCAACCAGGGTCAAATGAACGTACTATATATATATATATATTTTTTTTACTTTTTCAAATTTAAATAGTAAACTAGATACATTTACATGAAAGAAAACACTGGTTTTCTTATATATATATATATATATGTATATATAAAAGAAAAAGAAAAAAAAAAGAGAAGACAAAAAAGTATGAGAAATTGAGAGACGTGTGAGAGGGAGGAAATGAAGAAAAGCAAGCAGCAACACATGGCGCTTCTGCTCTCAACTCTCAACTCTCAACTCTCAACTCTCAATTCAATGTAATAAGACAATAATACCCCTCCAAAAAGCATCCAACTTTTCTCACATTTATCACTCGCATTTTTTAGGCTTTTTACGCCATAACTCCTCCTCTCCCTTCTTCTTTTTTAATAATAAAAATTTCAGCCGTTATCCCCCCCTTTTTTTTTTATTTACAAAAATTTAAACTTTAAATACCCATTTGAAAAAAAAAAAAAAAAAAGGCTAGTTATTCAATTACCGATACGATCAAGAACACCTGTATCACTCTCTTCTTGAATTTATTCTAATATACTTCTCTCCCAAACCACATTATTAGAAAGACTCTATTTTTCTTGATTTTCTTTGGACCACTGGTCTAATTTCTAACAACACCACCATCTCTCTCCACACACACACACACACACTCTCTCTCTCTATATATACCTACATGCCTACTCACTCTCTTTCCTGGCCTTTTCCATCGGGCAAACGAGGCTGGTTCTCCAACTGAGAAAAACGACATTGCCAGGTTTTTGAGACCTGAAAAAGCCTCTTTTAGATCTCTCATTTTCATAGCTCCAACCCCAACACCCATCACCACCATTTTCACTCTACCTCAGATCTCTGATTCAATGGCACTACTCTCCCCACCTCCCCCAACTCTTCCTCTTCAATCACTTTAACTCTCCCACTCACTCTCTTCTTTTACGCTGCTGAAAAACTTGCTTTTGTGTTGGCTTACCTTGGCTTTTATATGGCTGAAACCACAGAGCCCAAGGTACTGCCCGAGGCGGAGAAGAAGAAGGAGCAGAGATTGCCATTTTTCCAGCTCTTCTCCTTTGCGGATAAGTATGATTGGTTTCTCATGGTGTTTGGTAGCTTGGGTGCTATGGTTCATGGCTCCTCAATGCCTGTCTTCTTCTTGCTATTCGGTGAAATGGTTAATGGGTTTGGCAAAAACCAATCTGATTTGCACAAAATGACTCATGAAGTCTCAAAGGTTATTCATTATCCACCAACTCCAATCAATTCACCTACTTAAATCAAATCCCTCTCTCATTTTCTTACTTTAATAGTTAAATATCACCTTGTCCTAGATCTCAGATCTGTTTATTTACTAATTTTCTATGTTTTCCCCTTGTTTCTAATGCAGTATGCTCTTTATTTTGTCTACCTGGGTCTGGTGGTGTGCTTATCATCATATGCAGGTTTATTACTTTCTCCCTCTTAATTTTATTATCTTTCACAAATGATGATCTTCAAAACAGTCAATCACAATTCAATCCAATGCAAAATGGGTGAACCAGGCATCCTTGCCAAAGTTCATTGCAAGGTGACCTGTATCGCCAGTTCACATCGACCCCGCTGGGTTTGAACCTACATGGTCCGTGGACTGTTTCTTTGTCCTTTGCACTTTCTTCTTCACTAGTCAATCTCAACACACCTTTTTTCATTACTAATTTCCTAACATTATCTTACGCCTAACATACATCACTGTCACATTTTTTTTCTGCGAAATGTTTTTTTTTTTTCGTATAAATTATCTTTTACTGGGTTGGTAAGGCTGTGAAATTGACAATTATTTGAGTGCTCTGCTTTTATTTTTTATTTTTTATTTATTTTGTTTTCGTTTTTGAACAGAGATTGCATGCTGGATGTACACTGGGGAGAGGCAAGTAAGCACTCTGAGGAAGAAGTATCTTGAGGCAGTGTTGAAACAGGATGTTGGCTTCTTTGATACTGATGCCAGAACTGGTGATATTGTCTTCAGTGTCTCCACAGACACTCTTCTCGTCCAAGATGCCATCAGCGAGAAGGTTTTCTTTTTTTTTTTTTTCTTTTTAAAACAACTTTCTCTATTTTTCCTTGTAGGCTTGAGGTCTATGAAACAGGAAAAATCTACTACTATTGTTTTAAAATTGTAAAAAAAACTAATTTTGGGTCGTTGGTGATCCATTAATGGGGGTCCCCTGGCTGAATCCTTGTGTGCGTTCTGACTGCGCATGTTAGTATGGTTGTGCTAATTAGCACCGGTCTCTGTCTGTGTAACAGGGAAGAATGACTTTAAGATTTGTGATTTGGGTTCTTGATTAATGATGTTCATGTAATTTATTTTATGGGAAAATTGCTAGGTGGGGAACTTTATACATTATCTGTCAACGTTTTTGGCGGGCCTGGTTGTTGGTTTTGTATCAGCATGGAGGCTAGCATTGTTAAGTGTAGCAGTTATTCCTGGAATTGCATTTGCTGGTGGTTTATATGCGTACACTTTAACTGGCCTCACTTCCAAGAGTCGAGAATCGTATGCGAATGCCGGCATAATAGCCGAACAGGTGAGGTTTACAAGCTTAATTACTGATCTTATTCATTAATTGCTAATAATTGTGTTTAGTATATTTGCTTTTTGATGAGGTCTGCCCATCTCACTTTCGACTATAGTTAGTGCATTCACATGTGAAACACTTGACAGATGGGGATCATTTCATTTGCCTCCTCTTTTATCATTTTCCTTTTCTATCAATCTTGATGGATGTTTTGAACTGCCTATTATGTTCTGAAGCTTTCCCTTCACCAAAAAGAAAAAGAAAATATATTAGGCTCTCTGTTATTCTGCTTTTTCTTATCTTGCTGATGGTATCGGTATTTAAACTGCATGACTTATTATTAACTTGTATTCTTACAGATCTGTGGTCTGACTTTCTTTTTTCAAAAATTATTTGAACAGGCCATTGCTCAAGTTCGTACTGTATATTCTTATGTTGGTGAGAGCAAGGCTCTTAATTCCTACTCCGATGCAATACAAAACACATTAAAGCTTGGATATAAAGCCGGGATGGCAAAAGGTCTCGGGTTAGGATGTACATATGGAATAGCTTGCATGTCTTGGGCACTTGTTTTCTGGTATGCTGGTGTTTTTATCAGGAATGGGCAGACAGATGGAGGGAAGGCGTTCACAGCTGTTTTTTCTGCCATTGTTGGTGGAATGTAAGATCTCAAACTGGAATCTTTTGGAATTCAGACGAGTAAGTTTGCTGTTGGGTATGATAAGGTTATATTGATTGTTGCAGGAGCTTGGGTCAGTCATTTTCAAACCTTGGAGCATTTAGCAAAGGTAAGGCAGCTGGATACAAGTTGATGGAGATCATCAAGCAGAAGCCATCCATTATTCAAGATCCATTGGATGGAAAATGTTTGTCTGAAGTTAGTGGCAATATAGAATTTAAGGATGTCACCTTCAGCTATCCATCGCGTCCTGATGTTATCATCTTTCGGAATTTCTCCATTTTCTTTCCCGCCGGAAAGACTGTTGCAGTTGTTGGTGGGAGTGGGTCAGGGAAAAGCACAGTTGTCTCTCTGATAGAAAGATTTTATGATCCTAATGAGGGTAATTAAGAAACCTCTTTCATCTAAATGAACTTTACTTGGCCCTTTTACTGATGTTTCGTGGTGTGACCAGGGCAAGTGTTGTTGGATAACGTGGATATAAAGACCTTGCAACTAAAATGGTTGCGTGATCAGATTGGGCTGGTGAACCAAGAGCCTGCTCTCTTTGCCACCACTATACTTGAGAATATACTTTATGCAAAGCCTGATGCAACTATGGCTGAGGTGGAAGCTGCTGCTTCTGCTGCAAATGCTCATAATTTCATTACCTCACTTCCTCATGGCTACAACACTCAGGTTTTGTATATAAACCAAAATAGTTCAATATGATTTTAGTTAATGGGGTTTCTATTTCTATCGGCCGATTGTGTTTTCAATCAAATATCTTTACAGGTAGGAGAGCGAGGAGCACAACTATCTGGTGGCCAGAAACAGAGAATTGCTATTGCTAGAGCAATGTTGAAAGACCCAAAGATCCTTCTCCTTGATGAAGCTACTAGTGCTCTTGATGCAAGCTCTGAGAGCATTGTGCAGGAAGCTCTAGATCGACTTATGGTTGGAAGAACAACTGTTATTGTGGCTCATCGACTCTCTACCATAAGAAATGTAGACACAATTGCAGTTATTCAGCAAGGGCAAGTTGTTGAGACTGGAAATCATGAAGAGTTGATTGCCAAGGCAGGAGCCTATGCTTCACTAATCAGATTCCAAGAAATGGGGAGGAACAGAGACTTTTCAAATCCATCTACTCGTCGCTCTCGTTCCTCCCGCCTGAGTCATTCCCTATCAACAAAGTCTTTAAGCCTCCGTTCTGGCAGTTTACGGAACTTGAGCTATTCATACAGTACAGGTGCTGACGGCCGCATAGAAATGGTTTCAAATGCAGAAACAGGCCGCAAAAATCCTGCCCCTCATGGCTATTTCTGTCGGCTTCTCAATCTAAATGCTCCTGAATGGCCCTATTCAATAATGGGTGCAATTGGCTCAGTCCTTTCTGGTTTTATTGGTCCAACATTTGCTATTGTCATGAGCAATATGATTGAGGTTTTCTACTACAGAAATTACACCTCTATGGAAAGAAAGACAAAGGAATATGTTTTTATTTACATCGGAACCGGCCTTTATGCTGTTGTCGCATATTTGATTCAGCATTACTTTTTTAGTATAATGGGAGAAAATCTAACAACAAGGGTGCGCAGGATGATGCTTGCAGGTAGAGACTTTAGTGTGGTTTGCAAGTTCAAGTTACAAACTTCTCTATTGTCTTATGGTTGCTCCTGCAAGAGCGGATATTTTTTTTCTTTTTTTCATCATGCTAATTGACTTTTTTGATGTTTTTGGTGTGGGTCAGCAATTCTAAGGAATGAAGTTGGATGGTTTGATGAGGAGGAACACAACTCTAGCCTTCTTGCAGCTAGGTTGGCAACTGATGCTGCGGACGTAAAGTCTGCTATTCCCGAGAGGATCTCTGTGATTCTGCAGAACATGACTTCCCTCCTCACTTCATTCATTGTTGCTTTTGTTGTGGAATGGAGGGTGTCTCTTCTGATTTTAGCAACATTTCCTCTGCTAGTCCTTGCCAACTTTGCTCAGGTGAGATTATAAAACTCCATTCCTCATGGCTATTTCTGTCGGCTTCTCAATCTAAATGCTTTTCTAATTTATATCTGGAATCTCCTTTTACTACATTCCTTCTATTAAACAACAAAAGCAAAAAATCCACGTGGCAACACACCATTGCACTGCACGTGCTTCCTCCAAATCCTATCTGATGCCTTTACTTTTTAAAATTTTCACAAGTCAATATCATACACCCGTCCTCTCTAAAATATATATATAATATCAAACAAGCCCCCAACTACGAGTGAAGATGGAGAATATTTTATTGGTGAAAGTGAAGATGGAGTTTAAGATCATGTATAACAGTAAACAATACATATATTATATGTGCCCATGAATTAGCAATGAACAATAAAAAAATAGCAGAGATTCCAAGGTCACTCAATCAATTGCCTTTTCACTGAGATGGACGTTCTTGTTTTAAGTTTTAATTATATCTCGAGGCTCTCCCCCATTCAACTCTTTTTCTTGGTATTCTTACCTCAGTCAAAATTTCAACTTGTCTGGTTCTGTCACCACTAGTTTTTATATTTTACCAGGCACCGACTCTGCGAAGTTGCAGTGTATATCACTTGTTTATGTCTGATTTTAGCAAACCAAGTTAAAGTATCTGTAACCTGTTTGTTTTTTTCCCTTGGGTACATTATACAAAGAGCTTTGATTGCTAGAAATCTTCACTAGATATCATCAAGCATCTTGAGAGTTTCAAGAGATTCTTGGCCCGTGAAAATATTATGTAAATCTGCGGTTGTTATCTCCTTTTTCATTATTCATTGAGGGGTGTCAGGCTTTGACAGTCCTCTGGTAGCATGGCAGTGACTGAAAGATAGGGAAAATTTTTTTTCATGTAATTCCATTGCTAGGGGCTAACTTGCGCAGTGGTGCACATGTACGCACACTTCTTTATGCAGTATTGTCGTTTAGGGCTTTAGACTTCAAGTTATGGTGTTTCAGATTCTGGGGTGGTTTTTTTCAACTTGGTACCGATTGTACTGACGCTTTGGTTGTCTTGTATGGAACTGTGCTTGTGCATGCTTTTCTCATTGAGAGACAGAAACTTTTGTTTTTAGTAAAAGTTTATATATTTTATCAACTGGCTTTATATACTCAGTAATTGTAACACAACATCATGGGAGGACAAATTTGAGTCAAAGTATAAAGGGAGGGGAGTATTAATCGTCCACCTAAACAATAGTTGGTAGTGGGGAAAAGAAAGTCTATTTAGCATTATGTTGGGTCATCTATGGTGCCATGAATCTGGGACATTTACCGCAAAATATTAACTAATTACTTCTCAATGTTACTGCAAAAATTTTCAAGACCACATAGCGCCAGTTTGATGCATCTATACCTAGAAAAGGACAAAACTTATGGTGACTTTGTCTGACTTCAAGCCACTATAGCAATATTATTAATGTCATTTCCACGCGTGTCTTTGTCGAAGGTGCCCTAGAACTCTGGTCCTACCAATGGCTCTATCTACTAGGTCCTACCCTGTTGAAGCTGCTAACCGGAATAAGTGCTCTCCTAACTTTGTCATTGGAAGAATTGTCTCCCCCCTGTTTCTGGACTCGTGCATGCCCTAAAAAAAAGCATGAAAGAAATAAAAAGAATTAAAACTTCAATACTTATATCAGTATGATGAACAATCTTGTGCTGGTCAAATTAGTCTGGATAAAACCCCAAAGGATTGTTTTTTAATTTGGTTGGAAGGACATGGCCAAATCATTACTTTGGATATGCTAGTTTCGGTTCTTAATCAAAGATTAGAATGGATTACAGATTTTGGTTCTTATTTCTCATATTAACTATTTGTTTGAGCGGGTTTAAGTTCCTTGATGGTTATGATCTTCTTAAGCGATTGATACTCGTAGTATTCTAACTCATGGATTCTTTTATTTTCTTCATCACTCAGCAACTCTCCCTCAAGGGTTTTGCTGGGGATACAGCCAAGGCACATGCAAAGACTAGCATGATAGCTGGTGAAGGAGTAAGCAATATAAGAACTGTTGCAGCCTTCAATGCTCAAAACAAGATTCTTTATTTGTTCTGTCAGGAGCTTCGAGTCCCACAGCTCCAAAGTCTACGCCGCAGTCAAACTTCTGGTCTACTCTTTGGCCTGTCTCAGCTTGCTCTCTATGCCTCTGAAGCTCTCATTCTTTGGTACGGTGCTCACCTTGTTAGCAAAGGTGTATCCACTTTCTCAAAGGTGATCAAGGTTTTTGTGGTGTTGGTTATTACGGCCAACTCAGTTGCAGAAACTGTTAGCCTTGCTCCTGAGATTATTAGGGGTGGTGAGGCTGTTGGCTCAGTGTTTTCCATTTTGGACCGTTCAACAAAGATCGAACCAGATGATCCAGAGGCTGAGCCTGTTGAATCAATACGTGGGGACATTGAACTTAGACATGTTGATTTTGCATACCCTTCAAGACCTGATATTATTGTGTTTAAAGACCTTAACCTTAGAATCCGTGCTGGCCAGAGCCAAGCACTTGTTGGTGCCAGTGGTTCTGGCAAGAGTTCTGTAATTGCATTGATTGAGAGATTTTATGATCCAACAGCTGGAAAAGTCATGATTGATGGGAAAGATGTCCGGAGATTGAACCTACAGTCCTTGAGGCTTAAAATTGGATTGGTGCAACAAGAGCCTGCATTGTTTGCTGCAAGCATTTTTGATAACATTGCATATGGTAAAAATGGTGCAACTGAAGCTGAAGTAATTGAAGCAGCTCGTGCTGCTAATGTACATGGATTTGTTAGTGCATTGCCTGATGGATATAAGACACCAGTTGGCGAGAGAGGGGTTCAACTCTCTGGTGGACAGAAACAAAGAATTGCAATTGCCAGGGCTGTACTTAAGGATCCAACAATACTCTTGCTAGATGAGGCCACAAGTGCCCTTGATGCTGAATCAGAATGTGTACTGCAAGAAGCCCTTGAAAGGTTAATGAGGGGCCGCACCACGGTCCTTGTGGCTCACCGGTTATCGACGATAAGAGGGGTAGACAATATTGGGGTTGTACAAGATGGGCGCATAGTGGAACAGGGCAGTCACTCAGAATTGGTTAGCCGAGGAGATGGTGCATATTCCAGGCTCTTGCAACTACAACACCATCACATATGAGGGTTTTGATTACAGTAACATGGATATGGTGGGTGGTAATTATGTTTGGGTCCCATTAACCTTATGTTTTCATTTTTTCTTTTCCGGATGATGATATAGTTGTAGATATGGGAATGTGGAGACTATCTTTTTAACAACTACTGCCTCATTTCCAATGGGGAAGCAAGTGTTATATTATTAAATATCTATGGCCTATAGGTCTTTAAAGCCTCTTATACATCTTGTTGTGCGTGATTGATTGGCTTTTTTTCTTTTCCCTTTTGTACTCTTGAATTTTTTTATGCTAAAAGCTGCTCATCCCAGACATCTTCTTTTCCAGGCCTCATGAGAAACTTTTTTCTTGTTCTTGCTTTTTCTCCATTCCATGTGTTTGCTTCAGTGTTTTTTCTAGTCTTTGAGAAAAGGGAACATCTTCTTTTTCTATGTCCAGGTCCCACATCAACTCGGGGACAGTTAAAACGCCAACAGACAACAGTGATAAAGCATCAGGCTTTGCGCATTCATGTACAGCAAATGAAGATGGTATGCATTATTGCTAAAAGAAAAAAAGGCAGAAACTTTGTTGAACATATTTTTTATTACTTGTGAAAAAGCTTATGAATGTGAGGATCATGAGTGTTCTTTAGGCCTTTTTCATGTGTTTTTGTGGGTTAATTTCTACGAAACTAGTCATCTCAAACTAAAAAACTATTCACCCACCACTCTTTTTCCCTTCTACAATCAGATTGATTATCATTATGCTCAATAAAAGCTATAGCATGCTATATGGTCTGCAGATGGGAAGACTCCATTAATAGTTGTTCTCCAAACAGTCTCTGATATGTTTTTGCTAGTGGAATGATAAGGGCTAAAAAAAAAAAAAAAGGAGTTGAAGTTATGGTGAAGGGCAGACAGAAAAAAGAGAGGAATGGTGAATGCTGAGTGTAGTAAGAAAAGATGTGGGTCACATACCTCAGTTTTCAGTGCAGCTCAGTCCAATTATTTTGCCTGCAAAATTATATGTTAGGTCAGGTTTTGATTCATCATACGTTGAGTTAAAGCTTGATGCCAAGGACCATTCTTTCTTTGACTGGAAATCTGATGCTTGCAGAATTTACAAGAATCCAATCCTAATAATTCTTGTTTAAATTAAGACAATCATATGGGTTTTTTACAATACCTTATATATTGCTTTTGAAAGTTATAAACATTTTGTTTAGATAAGATTTGAGATAAAATTCAAATTAAATCATCAGTTTTCTAACGAGAAAATTATATGATCTGGACTGGATGCTGGGCAAAAGTTAAAGCTTGTTTACTGTGAATGAGCGATGTACCATGGTCCATATTAGGTCAGTTTTCACATGTGGTAAAAGCCAGCAATTTTATTTATTTATTTAATTCATTCATCTACCAGGATGAGTTGTTTGCAGATGAGACTGTGTTGGGTCCTGTGTAGGAGGGAGAAAGGGACACAAGAGAAAATGAAAATTGAAGTGATAATGGCCAAACGAAGCTTGGAATTTAGTGTTTCCTGTCTGCAGGCAGGCAGCTTACAGAGCCAGAAACGTTGACTATATATTATTGGAGAAATTATCTCTGTAAAGGAAAGAATATTAATATATACACACATTATTTTATTTATAAAGGCTGTGAATCCAGAAGTGGAAAATTAGGAAAGTGTTTTTTATCTCCAGGCACCAGCAGTCACCTGTTATTAGACGCACCATATTTCAGGGCGTACTGTGTTAGGCTTATTTTCTACCTTAATTACTAGAATTGGATTCTTGTTGATAAACAGTTCAGACTAAAATATTGAATGCACCCTTTCAAATCATTTTAAAAAGACCTAATTTCTATATATAAAACATTAATATGAATATACATATATACGTACATAGTCAATAATTGTAAGAAAGCCGAAACTAAAGGGTTATTTTGCTTTGTGTGCAAGCGAGCATGGGGAGGTGAACAGTTGAAATTGATAATTGTCGTGAGTGATTGTCTGGGGCAGACAGTGACTCCTCAGGCCTTGACTTTCTTAGTTGGGTCAAGCCCATTACTTGACTGCATTCATTCTCAATTTCTTCTTCTTTCACCATGAATTTCGATTGCTTAATCTACTATTTTCTCTTCCCTTTTTTGTTTCAAAACTTTTGTTTAATTTTAAATTCCAAATAGGAAATCACACACACACACTTACACTTTTAGCTTTTAGGCAAGTAATGGGTCTGATGATTGGGCCTAATTGTAGGAGCCAAGGCCACAACATAATCTTGTTACCAACATACTTGTTTGTTCAGTTAAGTTCTTGTTCTGATTCTTTAATATGAAGGAATCAGGGCTAATGCCCATTTAAATCAAACCCAGTTCATTTATATTTTAACCCTAATTAATGCATTTTGCTCTAACTTAACATCTACATATATGTATGTACGTATATGCATACTATATATGCATGATAACTTATGTGTAAGAGAGACATCTACGTGTGTGTGTATAGACATATGATATTTGTCAATGAGAACCATTACAAATAAACTAAATACATATTTTATTGGTATATTTTGTACCCTGGAGAGCCTTTGGTTCTGCCATTGGCCAGTGGGATGTTATACCACCAACACTTTTTTTTTTTTTTTAGTATTGAGTTAAGATGATCATTTTTCAAAATTTATATCAAATTTAATTGTGTTCGATGCAAATAAAATCTTATAATATAATTAAAATTTTATTTTTATAATATTTATTTATACTAAATGCTAAAATAAAAAAAAAATATATATATATATATACAGTGATTAATGAAGAGTACCCAAGAAGTTTAACCCCCTATTTATGGATTAAATACATAATTAAAAATGCTTTTGGAGTATTCTAATATAAAATAAGTGATGTTTAAGCATTATAATTAACTGGTACTTATGTATTAATAATGGATAATTAACATGAATAAATCAAAGAAAGTGGGTAATGATTTCTTAAATACTATTTATTTTAACAACCTAAAAATGACATTATCTGCTCTCAATTTTTGACTCAATCCATAACATTTTATTACTTTCTATTTTAGAAACAAAAATTAATTTGAATATATTATTATTATTTTTAATTTGGAACCTCATCTACCAAATATTTTTCTTTTTGTTATTCATCACATTTTATTTTATTCAAGCAATATATACATGTTATACTCGTCCGACTTTCAAAACCATTATATATATATATATAGTTTTTTAAGGTTATCTATGTATAGCCTTGATGAATACCCTTAATTAATTGTCAAGCATTTGATTGCACTGCCATCTCGGTTATCCTTTACGTATTGCAAATAAAGGGATATATATATATATATATATAGATGAAAGTAACTATAATAATTAACTTATTAAAAAGTAACTAATACTCCCATGAAATGATAGAGAAGACCCATAAACTTCAATTTATAAACATGAAATGCACCGTCCACGCTTTGTCGTGCGTTGCATTTTCAGTCTACAGAGTAACATGGCAAAAATGACTTCAGTTTGACAAATCTTATCCTTTTTACTTTTTTTTTTTTTTACTTCAATCAATTTGCTTTGCTTATTTACGATCATAGAAGGAGATCGGAGAGGAGCAGTGAAAACGGTGTCAAAAATTAGACAAAGGATTAACGATGTGGATGAAACACAAAGCCTCCCAAGAAAGAGAAAATATGGAGAAAGCTTAGGTTGATAATGACAATTATGAAAGGCTATATATACGCGTGTATGTATAGGTGTATTTTGCAAGAAACCACACCAACCGGCAATTGCATGCAAGAAAAGTGAGCCCTAAAATATAAATTACGCCGACCTCAACGAATAGCATATGCATGTAATGAAAAGAAACCGCTTTTAACAGTAACTTGAGGCCCCTTTTACCGTAAAATTCTTCTCAAATTTTCTTTATTTCCTATGCACCTCCAAATTTATTCTATATGCACCTTACCCCAAAAACACCTACAATCATTCAACTTTAAACCTAAACTAACATTCATATTTTTAATATTGTGATATTAACTTGCATTTCAATTGACAAAGAATATTTCGAGACGAAGAAATTAAGAAAGAGTCAAGAATAAAAAGAAAGAAGTCTAAACGGTGGGGGTCAACCTCTTAAATCTCTCAATAAGCTTTTTATTATTAAATTTATTCCAAAATATTAGTACATTCTATCGTGATGATTGATCATTTTACCAGAATAATGTCGGTTATTATCTGAAATTAAATCATAAATATTTTTATTTTATAATTTAAAGTTGAAATTAATAAAAGAGTATAAAAAATTTAAAGATTCTTAAGACAGATTGAGCTGACGAATTCACATTCATAAAGTTTCAAAATTATTATATAAAAGAAAGAATAAAACAATAACTTACATTATGGTATACACCAAAACAAAATAAAGTAGCAAACGGATTGTCGAGATGACTCATAGGATCATTCTGAATTGGTTATTGAAAGAAGTAGTTCAAAATAGAACTTCTCATAAAACATGATATAGATGGAAACTCCGATAATATTTGTTTAGAATCTTTTGATTGATTAATTATTCTCATATTCTTTTTTACCACAAAAAAAAAAAGAGAAAGGCAAAAAATATATCTTCGTTGGAGACAATGATCAATATAAAGGATATCGCATAGTAAATCAAAAGACAAAAGAATTTACAATCTCTTAAGATATTATCTTTGATGAGTTTGCATCTTTGGAACTTTGAGAAAAGTTCTCTAAAACAACATTCTATTATTAATTTATCAATTATAGTTACAACTAGTCCAAATTCGAGTCTTACTCAATCAGAGAGAATCTGTTTAGACTCTACGACGCCACCAAAAAGGGTATGTTGATTAAGAGAAATTTATGAAACTTGTGAAATTACATTTTTTTTTTGTTATGAGCCACAAAAAAATATGGTTTAAAGTTATGGATGAAGAAATTAAAATAATTAAAAAGAATAATATATTAGAGAGTTAATAGATCTATCTAAAGATAAAGATGTCAGTAGATTATAGTAGATCTACGTAGACTAAATATGGAGAAAAACATAATTCAGAAGCACAAGAAAAAATAGTTGTAAATGGCTATTCTGAGTAGCTTAGAGTTGATTCAATTAAATGTTTGCACAAGTCGTACATAAAGACAATTTTAATTGTTCTTACTTTAGTAGTCCAATTTGAACTACTAGTATTTCAATTGGATGTCAAACAACACTTCTCAATGGAGAGTAAAAATAAGAGTTTAAATGGATCAACTAAAATGATATATGGTAAAAAACCGAGAATAAAGAATTTATAAATTCAAGAAATCAGTATAATGTTTAAAATAAACATCACAAGCTTGGAATAACAAAATAAATGACTATTTCTTGTGTCAATGGCTTTTAGAAAAATCATAGCGAACTATCATTTTATGTGAAGAAAGAAGGTAAACAATATTTTTTTATTATCTAATTATACGTGAATAATATAATGTATATCATAACAAATCTGAAAATGGTTGAAGAATTCAAAAAAGCCATAATGGAGGAATATGAGATAATAAACTTAGATCTAATGAAATATTTTTTTGACATCCACGTCTAACAAGTCAAAGGAAGAATGTTCATCTCTTAAGAAAATATTTTGAAGATTTGTTACAAAGATTTCACATGAGTAATTGCAAGCTAATATCATCTTCTTTAGTAACAAATAAAAATTACTGGTGGATGATTGTGCTCCTAAAAGTGATATAAGATTACATAGAAGCCTAGTTAGTTTATTAATTTACATAGCATACACAATATTTAATATATAATACATAATCAATCTAATTTCATGACATGATTTGAGTAAAATACATTATACACCAGAAAAAATAATTCAAATGTTTTCACAAGAACTATATCCTATGATGTTTTCATGTCGGTTTTTAGAAGTTAGAAATATGTTTTAGTTACTTTCAATAGTTATGCATACATGTTTAGGGCCAAGTAATCATAACACTTTTGTCCTTTAACCTTGTCTACTATATGGGGGCACTTTTATCATGTAAGTATTTTTTTTTATTATATCTTTTGGGCAATTAAATTATTTTATGACCTAATATATATGTTTTTTTCAGTATTAATTCTAACTAAACTATATGAGAAGGTGGGATATTGCTAGTGGTTTATTTTATTTAATAAAGATGTTTTTCATTTTAATTAAAAAATCTTAAAATTGTTAGGCACCTTGAGTTTTTTGTTTGTCATACTCATACTCTAAACTTTAACAAATCTTAAACAAAACGTTTATTAGTAGCACTTTCAATGCATTAATTTTTGCAATATAAAACAAAATACGAATTGATCCACTCATAAACTAAATATATATGTTAGCCCTCTTAGCTTCTTGCAATTCGATTCATACCTCCAACTCCTTTACTCTTTAGTAAGTCAATACATCAGCCATAAAAAAATTAAAAAAATAACTTTTACAAATTTTGTTATTTTTATTCTCAATCGCATAACTAACCGTTCATATAAAAAAATAAAATTATCTAAAAGTATTATGTATTTTACTTAAATATTTTAAATACATACTTAAATGACTTAATTAAATAAAATAAAAATTATATATATATATATATATATCAAATTGGTGTTTCAAAAAAAAAATATATATTAAATTTTATATATACACACACCCAAGAAACTCTTACTTAATGTAAACTCAAATAAGAGAAAAAGAATTCCAATAGCTTAATATTATATTAAGAGATGATATTTTTTTTTTTTTTTTTTGCAATTTCTCTAATTCGTTTTAATTTATTAAATTCGTTATAACTTTAAACTGAATTTAGCTTGAACATAGGCAAGATAGGGTGAGTTTTTTTTTTTTTTTATCTCACTTAATCGGGACAAGTCAAATTAAGATTTAATTACAAAAAGTTCATTTTAAACAAATTCGGTACTCTTTATATAAAATATATTATATATACTTAAATTTTAATAAGAAAATAAAAGATTTAAATAAAAACTGAGATGCAGAAGCTTTTCGGTTTTAGTTTATGTATGTGAGTTTGAATTTAAATGTATATACGTTAACTTATGGTGGGGGGAAGGGGAAAAGGGAAAGGGGAGGATGGTGCGGACAAGATGCAAATGAAAATTTCATTTTTTAACTCCGTTATGAGTTTAAGAAGGATTCATGTTTATATATTATAATCATGATTTGTACTTCCAAATCAGAGTCATTAACATCTCTAATTATATTAATATCTCTAATTATATTGATATTTTAACAATAGAAATATTATTAATGAGGGGACAAAGATGTAATTATGGAGGAATTGGATCTAAACATCTTAGCTCTCACGAGAGAGAGGCAATGGACAAATTAGAAATGTATAGTATTTGAGAGGCGTGAATTAAGGTGGAGTCATGTCATGCAGGACGTATGGGTTTGCAATTGGGTGAAAGTCATTTCCCAACTCATATGCTTCTTTTAATAAATTAACTCTATATTTAAAAGAAATATAAATATGTATAATTCCTTTATTAATTAATATCTATCATAACTACTAATGCTAATATAAGTTAATTTTATATCCTATGTGAAATTATAATGTTTATTAAATTTGATGAAATTAACTATATATTTTTTAAATTTATTTTTTATTTTTAATAAAAATTTATATATATTATTAATTATGTAGTACTAATAATAACATAATTTTCTATTAAAAATATATAAGATGTATAATTTTATACTCAAATTTATATTCTTATAGAGATAGAAGAAATTACTAATTATGGTTATCTAGTCAATAAACATACTTAGAACTAAGAAGTTTTTTTTTTATTAAGATTGATAAAAGGAGGGTTAAAGAGTTATGGCAGTTCCTTAACCTTGATTTGCACGGAAACCCCACATGGACTAACATGCATATATATATATATATATATTATAACAACATGTGTATTAAATGAGAATTAGAATTGTCAGTTTCAATTTTCTAATTACGGCTCTTCTCTCATCACTGCTCCTGTAAACAATTGAATGCGCACGCATTTTGGTTTGGTTTATCACTATCCCATAAACAGCATTTACCTTATTCCTAGTTTTCAACTTTATATACATATATACATACACGCATATATATTTCCTTATAGTCTTCAACTGCTTAAAATATATAGCTACCCAATTCTGACATAAAACTGAACCTTCCTTTTCAACTACACTTATGACTTGGCTATAACCAAAATCAAACAAACACCTAATTAGCTTGATTCATTTTTGTGTGTGGTTCTTTTCAACTTGTGCACAGTATAGAGAAAGAACACAAAGGAAGGACCCCCATGAGGGTGAAAATGGGGTAAATAGAATAATATATATATATACATATAAAAAATAGTGATGAATCTATCTATAGGAGAGTAAATATATATATATGTAATAAAGAAGGTAGGGAAAGAATTAAAACAAGGGAAATTAAAGTGTCAAATCTTTTTCAAAGTATAGGAGACACATGCAAAAAAGAAAACAGTATTAAAATGAGTTAAGTGACCATCTGATGACATCAAAAGATACCCCAACATAATCCCCATTGAAGAAGCTGCTGGTTGTTGCAAAAACTTGAAGTTGGTTACATGACCTCTTTGTAATTAATAATGGCAGCATCCCAGAGAGATGATATATATATATATATATATAGGTGTCTATATATATATATATATATATATAAAAGGAAACAAGAACTAATGGGTCCTTTCTTTTTAGCCTTTGCAGAGAGAGAGAGAGAGAGAGAGAGCAGAAGAGTCCAGTGCTATTGTGGTGACACGTGACAATGCATTTGGAAATTTGATATTGCATATGGAGGTGAATGCTTATATATAAAAATGTTATGTTGATATTAATAATACATAAGTACCCGACTAAGACATGCCACGTGTCGTGTCGTATGTGCCAGGCAAAATGCATGTGACATGAGCCTTTGACAATCTATCTTGCAACACTCACGTAGTTATGTCCCAAACAAGGATGAAATATATATATATATATATATACACACATATATACAAGAGAGATCCTAATATATATCTTTTCATTTTTATTTCTATTTTTTTTTATAAAGAAAAGTAATATAAAAGACTTGCACAATAATAGAATTGGGACCCAATTTTTTAACGTGAAAAAAAAGTAGAAGTAACCAACCAATGGTGTTTATAAAGTATTTGCAATGACCAATTTTTATTTTCTTTTTATATGTGCGTGTTATTTATATCTAATATTTATAAAGTTTTAGCCCAAAATAACAAATAGTAATGAGGATTAGGTAATGATGTATGTATATATAGACGTATATCCCGTGTGTGTGTGTGTGTGTATGTATATGTAAGTGGGAGAGGTAGTTAAAAATGAAGTAGTTTGTGTCCAATGTAATTGTTGAGAAGAGGGAATAGAATTTTGGGTAATTTAGATGGAGTGTAGTGACGTGGCAAGCGGTGATTGGTGGAGTAGGAAGTTGATTGGGAGTGTGGAGGATCTAAAATCACATGGCATTGTGGTTGAAGACATACACATGAAAGGCCCACTTTTCCCCTCATACCCTTCCTTTTGAGATTTTTGCTTTTTCCCCCTTCCCCCTCCTCTCTCTCTTTCTTTTTCTTTTTTTTTTTTTTTTTTTTAAAAATAATAATTATTTAAAGCAAATTCATCACCAAATATATTTCGTTTTCAAAAGCATGAAACAAATATTTTATACTAAATAATTTCTTAAAAAATAATTAAAATTTAAAGAATAGCCGACCTGAATTCTGATATAATTTTAAAAATAATTGGTCGTTTCTAATTATTTCAGAAATTTAACAAAAATTATTTATACTAACACATAACACATGTCTATACAATCCACTGCTTTCTTAAAAGCACTTGTCTTCTTCACATCCAACATCACTGTCAATTTATTGTACTCTTCCTCTTTCTCTCTCTTCTCTCTTCATTTCCTTAATTTGTGGTCCAACCTCTTTATAATCTCTCTTATCACTTTCACCATTTCTTCATCTCCTTCTCCATTCCTCCCTCTCTTTCTCCTCGGTACCATATATAATAACTCTTCTCTTCTCTTCGCATTTATCATATACATAAATATACCCTTTCACATATATTTATCCCCTTAATATCAGCAAAACCTGATCCTTCCTCATTCTTAAGCACATAACACGAAAAGGGTACTTCTTCTTTTTCAGCTTACAAGCGAGCATACATATATAGAGACATATTTTAGTTGAGGATGTCTAGTAGAAGATCAAGGTCGCAAGCAGCTACTTCTTCTAGGATCACCGATGATCAGATCGTTGAGCTGGTGTCAAAGTTACGCCAACTTCTCCCGGAGATTCGAGATAGACGTTCCGATAAGGTAACTTACATTATTATAATTGTATATATGTTTATCTCATTAACTCTCTCTCTCCCTCTCCCTCTCTCTCTCTATCTGTATATATATACACACACATATATATATATATATATAAACTTACAGGAAATATTAACGAAAAATGATGATAAAAAGGTGGAAGAGTGATAACACATAATATGCATTACGAACATGGCGCATGTAGCACATGAAACATTAACTGTCATTAGATAGATATAATGTATAATAAAAGTATATATATAGCATCACTATTGAAAGAGGAAAAAGAAAGTTGAAAATTTGACCCGGCCATCAAGGAAAACTTTGATGACTTTTAGCTTCTCTTTGACTTACAACAGTGGTGTCTTTGGAGCCAAACCTCCCGTTATGGTCTTGTATAGGACTATACATGTATATATATATATATATATCGGTTCATAATTATAAATATTTATGGTTGGTAGATGAGTTAAAAGAAAGTCTCTAGCTTTATCATGTTGGTCTATAATGATATAAGTGACGGGTAAGTTTCACATTTTCGTTTCTGGTCTTATATCAATATATTTAAAATATATATCACAATATTCCTATACTAATATAATAATGATAAATTATTAATATCCAAGTCATTGCGGATGTGTATAGGTATCAGCTTCTAAAGTTTTGCAAGAGACCTGCAACTACATTAGAAGCTTGCACAGGGAAGTGGACGATCTCAGCGAAAGGTTGTCTCAACTGTTGGCCACCATTGATGCTGATAGTGCAGAGGCTTCCATAATTAGGAGTTTGATTATGTAATAGGAAGAAAAATTGGATTAGTATCTTAATTAATTTATCCTTTTATATTTGTTACTATAGGGTTTTAGATTATATTTGAATATTATATATATATATATATATAAAACATATAAATCATGCATGAGTACTACTGGTGATTTTATTATTATTTTTTTTATTAGAAAATATTAGAAAAGTACTTGTAAAATGTGCCGTGCGGATATATATACAAGCACAAGGCATGAATTAAGGTTGTGTAATAATAAAAAGGACTTGCAATAGCAAACCCTCTATTTATATTAATTAATTGGATTGATATACAATATATTTATAAATGACATGCATCTATATAAGCCTCTTGATGGAGTTTGGGTTAGTTCAACTTATTGACTTATTTAAAAGACGACTATGGAGTGGCATGAATGTTTTTTTTTTTTCATGATTAAAACTTTTGTCCTTAGTTTCATCAAGATATTATATACATGCATATATATATATATATGGAGGCAGGAAAGAGCAAATGTATAATACTGAGATTTTGTCGGTAAGTTGGAATCAATCACCATAATATCAGCATATAAGTCCTAAATCCTCGGTTTATTAGTGATTTTATGGGATTATTAATTAATATATATATATTTCATATTGCACAGTGATTTTATCAGCACGCATGTAACCAAACTCCTATTTCCTTAGAATTTTATTTGATGGCTCACCAACTATATATCTATATTTATACACGCATAAATATTCAATTTTATTACCTAAAATTAATTTACACAACCAGCTTATTTATTACACACTTTAGGAATATTCATGAATTTTTATGCCTTGACATGATAGATTATTAAATGCATATATATATGGATAATTGTTTGAACCCGCTGCCCATTTTTCCTTCTTAGATTTTGCAATATAACATGACGATTTCATCTGATAAAATCTCTCAAATCATGCTTTTATTTTTTTACATATATGGAGCGAAACTTCTTTACATTTCTATACGTATATATCTTATAATTACATACTCAAGCGTCTAAATTAGTTATACACAGGATAAAATAGTCATTAGCTTCTTTACTTTTCGTATATATGTAACTATAAGATACTCTTATCATTACACATGAGTTGTTGAGATCTTCTAAATGTGATAAATACATTATAAATTTTGTATCTACAGTTTTTTTTTTAATACATAAATTCGAAATCGATGAATCATATAAACAATATCTATCAATTAATTTATTTTCATTTTAATATGATAAATACATCAAATGATTTGATCTCCGCTCTTTTGAAAAGTTTTTTTCTTTTTTTCATGCATTATATGTTTAAATAAAATATTACATACGGAGTTGTTTCATGTCACGAGTATATAAAAATTGATATTAAAATGAACTATTATTGAGACTTATGATGAAATGAGAAAACTTTAATTCTTTTTTGAAGAATAATTTTGTTTTATAAAGATTTATTACTGCGAGACATAATAATTACACATAGCAAAGCAACTAAAAGAATAACCGAAATGAGATATCTAATACGTAGTTGAAGCTAATAACTCAATTTTTTTAGGTTATAATTGACCAATACCTTCATATTATGAAGTTGAAGTTAGATTTCTAGCTATAGATAGTGAGATATCTAATATGAAATATGGTGAAGGAGGTATCAACTACCATTATAACATTATGATGATGATTGATACAAATATATTAATGAGAACATGTGGAATATTTGTCAAATTTTGTGTAGATATTGTATTCAAAAAACCTTTAATATCTAAAAATATGGATAAAAAGGGTCTTGCTAAAGGTAAAATATACAGTGCTACCACATATATATTTTAAATGTAAGAAAGTTGGGCACACAGTGGATAGATACATGTCATGGGTGGTGGGGGTTCAAGTTGTCAATGACATTGTGGTGAAGGAGCGACAACGGCAAATGAATAAGTGAATGTCATGATGGAGGAATCAATAAGATATTTTTTGAAGTAGGACATTATAGTTGAAATATGGGGAGTGGATCATTCACTAAGGCATACGAGGGGAGGAAATGTGCTATATGGATAAAAGGTTTAGGGATGGAAGTTATTAGTCTAAAGAAGATCCGAGCAATATACTATATGCATCATTGCAAGAAGTAAAAAATGAATTAGACACTATAAAATGCAGCTTGTAAAAGTTTTTTACTTTTGACAAAGGTAGAAATAGGGCCCACAAAAAATAACGTAAATTGTGATAAAAGCGAAACCATTGAAAAGCGAAAATATGGAGTTCATGTAACATAGAGTACAAATGAGAAAATATAAGCATAGAGAATATAGATAGTTTGAGATTTTAAATTCTCTAAGGAGCCAATCAAAGAGTTCTTTAACCTCATTAATTTTTTCATCAACCGAGTGGTTAATGCTAATAAATTTTAGAAATATAAGATTTAACTCAATATAAACTTGTGCAAGAGCTTTTTATAAAGATAAATTTTTTTTGTTAATATTAAAAAAAGAGTATATATCATCACTAGATTACCATAAGTGAACTGAATAGTCGTGTAAGTTTAAAAAAGAAACATTAGCAACATTCATAAACTTGTGAAAACACATTAACGCTCCACCAAGACTAAAAAGCACTAAGTTCATATGAAAAACATCAGTAATGACTTCATAGAAAGTATGGAACGCCCATTTATTGCTGTAACTAAGAAAACAAAAACTTGTACAAGAACTTATTTGGATATTTTTAAATGGTACATAAGTTTTATCTTAACTATATTTAATTCATAATATATCATATATATGTCTTACAATTCAATTATCATGCCTCTAAATCATATAATATGGAATATAAATTATATAATGTAGATTTACATGTATAAAATTATGTCTCATCTAAGCAAGACATGACAATAATTATCTCATACAATTAAGTCTTAACTTTTAATATCACATATAAAAAAAATAGATATTTTAAAAATAACTCAAGAAAAAGTATTATCGTTTTAGTATATGACACATACCTTAAGTATCTCTCTAATTTTAGATAACATGATTTCAACTTTGCTAAATGCTATATTTGATTTTTAGAAAGCTTTCAGTGCTTTAATCTCATATTTTCATACATCTAAAAATTTCTTCCTATAGATTTTATGAGTGGCGAGGAGACAAAAATTAATTTAAAAAAAAAAAAATCTTATTCTCTTCATCCACCATTGAAACCTAAGTATGGTTCTTATTTGTAAATCTGCTTTTTGAAACAAAAAAGCTATAAATGTTTTATTTACACTCTTTGAGGCATTTTAAAATAGATTTAAGGAAACTTTTGAAAATTTTAATATTTGAGAGAATACAAATGAAAGATAAGCTTGACACATTGATAAACAAACAAATAGTGTTCGAGACAGTACGAGTAAAATGTGAGTTTTATATATTGATAAACATGTAGGTAGTGTTAAAGGAAGACAAGTGAAAGGTAAGCTTCAAACTTTGATAAAAAGTGAGTAGTGTCTGAGAGTGTATAAGTGAAAAATGAGTTTAGTATATTGATAAACAAACAAGTAGTGTTCGAGAGATTACGAATAAATAGTGAGCTTGATATCTTGATAAATAGAATAACTAGTATTTAAGAAAATACAAGTGAAATGTAAGTTTGAAACTTTGATAAACATGCGAGTAATATTCTATAGAACATAAGTGAGTGGCGAATTGGACATTTTGAATAACTAATGTATGTAATACATGAAGAAAACAATGAAATCTCAAGTTGTTGACTTTAGAAAAGGACATAAAAATAAATAGTGTGGTTGAACCTCAATAAAAGAGTTTATATTCTCTTCACTTTTCTCTTTACTTTATTTTATTATTCATTATTGCTTGATATTGCATACTTATCCACATCTCATATACAATCACAAAATAAATTCAGTATTCCCTCTTATTCATACTACCATACTTGATAAGCAATTTAGAGCATATTATATAAATAAATTAGCAAAAATTCTTATACAAGAAAATATTTTTATTTTAGGTTGAATAACACATAAAAGAAAAAAGTTGGAAGATTTCTATAGAAGCCGTAAAATTTTAAAAACCTAATTTACCATTTTCTTTGGTTAGAACTTACGTTAAGAATTATATAAGAGTCACGTCTCTTACTAATAACTTAATTGTATAAAAGAAAGTCTTATGGCAATCCAATCAAGTGAAGGTAAATATTTCAATACTCTATTCAATTGTAGTCATTTCAGTTATTAGAACGACGAATGAAAATATTTCTACAAGTTTTCAATTATGATCTTTGAAAAATCATTTAAATGGACCATATGTTCCACTTGAAGCCTAGGAGATCCTATTGCCAAAGCATAGTGTATATTATTCATGCAACCTTAATATCCAAATATCTATAGTACATCTGATTTAAGAGTTAAATTCAGAGATATCTGTAAGAAGAAAATGATATTGTCGATTGAATTTTTAAATTATTAGAAAAAGGTAGATATAATGTGTAATAATATTTTAGTTTCATATGTTTCTATAATACAAGTTAAGTTTACTGTTGCCAACTTATATTTGTAATTAGTGCATTATTTTACCAACAACAATCAAATTGAATTTCTCTTTTATGAATAATTTTTAAGTATATATACCGAAATAATATATTAGATATATATTGTTACATATACAAATAAATATTAATATATATATATATATAATCACACCTATATTATAATTTTTCTATTGATAATATGTATATTATATAAATTGTTATGTGAGTTTATAAAATATGTATGCATTCTTATATTAAAATGTTACTGTATGCAATATACATCTATTATATATAAATAATGATTTAATTAATTTTTTTAAAAAAATTATTTCTTATTTGAAGTACAATACATCATATAACATTATATTATTAATTTTTATATATACAAATAAATGTTAATATATGTTTTTATATATAATCTTACATATACATATTATATTTTTATATGTAAACACATATAAATAAGTAATTATTACATGGTATAGAGAGTATAAAATATAATTTACAATTAATAATTTTAATTATATATTTCTATTTATTAATATTAATGTATAAATAAAATTTGAATTAAATTTTCTATTAATTTTTTCAATTATTTCATTCCCCACAGTTATTTTAATTATACATGCAACTTTAGCTTTTGACTTATTTTTTCTTATACTCTTTTTGATAATTTTAGTATCAAAATTATTTTCACAAAACAAATAACTTCAGATTTTAATATTATAATATTTTTTATAACTATTTTTATTACAAATCAAATATCTTTTAACTAAAAAGATTTCTAATTAAAAATTACTTTAATAACAATTTAAAATTCATAATATAAATTATAATATCTTAAAATATCGACTAAAGTATAATAAAAAATATTTTTAAAACTAAATTTTAACCTGATCATAATTCAAAAAATAAATTGTATGTTTGCCTTGAATTTTATTGAAGGGAGCAAATATGGGGATGGATGGATAATGTTATATGTGTCATGTACCCTCTTCCATGACCATTAGTGCTTGGGCCTTAGCCCTTAACACCACAGTCACAATACGACTGCGTTTTGCACAGGCTAAAAGGCGGTTTGGCCGGTTGCTACTTGGGATTGGACTCCTCGCCACCGGTATCCCATAAATCCAGCCGCGGGGCTATTATCGTAAATTCAATCACCGACAAAACGTACCCACGTTCTTAAAAAATAGACTTGCCTCACGCTCCTGTTTAAAACGGTGCGCAGAGCACAAAATAGGTCTATGTGTATCCTACCAAAAATATTATAAATAAAATAAATTACAAATTAATCTTCCTGGCCGGCACGTGCAGTTCACGCTCTTAGTTAGAGAGTACTTTCCGTTTTTTATTTTTTATTTTTTATTTTATTTGGTGAAGGGATGGTTACTGGTCTCTTCTCCCTCTCTTTCTCTCGTACTGTTTCAGTGTTGTAATTATGCTCTGATAAAGAAACAGGTGAGCGAGAAATCGATCGTCTTGTTTCCAGGTATAACAATGGAGATTTAGATTTTATTGGTTTTTCTTTACGTTTTTTGTGATAATAAAAGATGCCCAAGTTAAGTACGCTGCTTCAGTTTCACGTTTGGTGATTTGTTTTTGCTGGTTCTGGTTTATGTGGTTGCAATTAAGGGTTCTTTATTTGAGTTAAGGTCGGTTTTTTATAATAATCGATTGATCTCGTGGGTCCTTTTTAATATTGTTGACTTTATTATTTGTGCTTAGTTTTCCTATTATAAAAATGGATTCTTTTGATGAGCATGTGTACATGATTTGGTGTTTCAATCTTTGCGTTGTGATAATTCTATGGTTGGTCAATGGTCATCAAATTTGCAGTTTTTATTTCCTTAAATCATGATACTTTATTTTATTTTATTTTAATTTCTTCTTCTTTCATCAAATCAATCAGTATTTTCTTTTTGTCTTTTTGTTGATGATCCGCGATTTCTTGATGTTCTCTTTTTCATTGTTTCCTCTTGTGGGTACCCTTTTTTCTTCTCCAAGTAAGAAGGATTTGCTCTGTTAGTGGAATATCTATTGCTTAGGTAGAGAGGGTTTTAGTATAATGAAGACGCTTTTTGATAATTCCAAGTACTTGAATTTTTAAATTTATTTTTAAAGTTTGTAATCCTTCACCCGCTTGCGTTGTTTGACTTTACTTGTTCCTTACAAAGCAAGCTTGACTTTTACTTTAATTGATTTTCATGCAACATATTTTATGAGTCTTAAGGTCAATTCTTTCACACTTTTTGATTTTCAAGTTAAATCAGTTAAGATGTTGAAATGGTAGTCCTTTATGCTTATGTTCATTGGCATAATGGCAATGATTGTAGCTTAATGTTTTGGATTTCATAAGAGCCAATTAGGATCGGTAAAGACCCCGGTTAGGGCCACCAATGCATCATTCATATTTTTATTGTTGTATTGATGAGAATCTAGACGAAATTGAGCTTGAAAGGGTAATCCTGACTGGAAAAATTCTGTTAACCGTTAAAAGCACACAGTTATATTTGCTAGATTTTAAGAATCAATCTAGGATTTTTAAATCTTTCTTTCTTTTTGGGTGCAAGAATTTGATGTGAGGGACCACTAAGGATTGAGGATAATCACATAGGGCAAGGTGCTGCAATACGACAATGGCTAATCTCTATTCCTGACATTTCCTTATCTTAGCTGTTCCTCCAAAATGGCTTTTTGTATGAACATTAACTTGTAACTGCATAGCATATTGGAATGAGCAACGAAGATCTTAACATGATCAAAATACATCTTTCAAGATAGGTTGCTAAAATTTATTTGATATTCTTGAATTAGTTTGCTTTCATTTTTGTGAAATTTCAGCACCATGTATCCTGGTGGTTACACAGCTGAAATTACCAGCTTATCTCCTAGAGCAACAGAGAAGGACATTTCCAATTTTTTTGCTTATTGTGGAGCAATTGAGCATGTTGAAATTATCAGGTACCATTCTCAACTCAGCTTCTAGTCACTGAGTATGAACCCACTCTGTAATCAATGTCCATTATGGTTGTTAGTTATGATGATACTTGAATTTATTTGTGCACCCAAAGACTTATTGAACTGATTACTTTTTGTTTTCAAAAGTAAGAAGGTCAAAAGCGGTTATGTCTGACATGCTTTGTCATCCCTTCATATTTTTTAATTTCATTTATCCAGGGCTCTCAAGGTTGAGTAGCCAATTAAAAATGATGAGGGGTTCTTTGGACTTGAATCTCCCCACTAATATTAGAAAGTTCATTACCAAGATTCAAAATATTTCTTTCTATTCCTTTCTCGAGTTTACAACTGGACTGATTGGAAAAAGAAAGAAAAAGATATGAGGTTGAAGAAATCTTTCTGAATTCCCCTTGTGAAAACTTTTTCAGAATTTTGCAGCTTTTATAGTTGTTATTCCTGTAACTTCTCTTGAGACTTAGTTTGCAAACAACGTAATCTCATAGCTGTTTCAAAGTTGTCAGTATCAATTTGATCTTCATTCTGCTGGCTTTCCTATTGATCAGTTTCGTTCTATGATTGAAGTACATATATCTTATGTATAGAAATTCTTTTTCTTCTTCTTCTTTTTTGTGGTTGAGGGAGAGAAAAAGGAAGCATATTAATGAGCACCAAGAAGGTGCTACCATGTACAAAAGAATGAGGAAGTTTGAACATCCACTCAAAATATCAATTGGGTTTTGCAAGCTCTCTATAGAAGAAAAAGTTCCATGGAAATGAAAAAATAATAATTTCCTCGGATTGGCGTAAATGAGAAGATATGGTCAAAGAGTTAGGAATATGTTAGTTAATTAGGTTTAGCAGCAATTAGGAATAAGCATTATGAATAAGAGATAGGTGTTATATTCTCTAACCAGATTGAAGGACAGCCTTCAGAGAGTGAAAGAAATGAGTAGAATTATTTTCATTCTATGAAGCCTTCATCTTTGGAAACTAAGACTGGAAGATAATTTTTTGAAGCTTAGAAAGTAGAAGATCAAGCCCATAGGCCTGAGGATCCATGGCTCTTGGTTCTTTGGATGTTAAGGCCTTGTATCTCTTTTTTTCATTTTTCTTTTCTTTCTGAAATTTTTTTGGGGCTCTCCTTTCATACTCATATCTATAATATCTCAAATAATGAAATGGAAATGTTGATCATGCAATAAATTGTTCTGCAACTCCAACTTATAAAATAATTTATGAATGATGAAATCTTACAGTTGGTTTCGCTGTTAAAATCAAATAAAGCAATAGGAAGTTTGGGTCTGCATGCATCTCACCTCACTTTTCTAGTCTTTGTTATTGGTTTTAGGGAATTCTTTCTTGCACATTAAAGTTTCCCATTGTTAGTCGAACTAAGTATGGTCATTATTGTTTCTATTTAATAACAGATCTGGGGATTATGCTTGTTCAGCTTATGTGACATTTAAAGATCCTTATGCTCTTGAAACGGCTATCTTGCTCAGTGTATGTGCTTCTCACATTACGAAATAAGTACTTGCTTTCTATCAGCAAATCAGACTTTGTTGGCAATTCTTTCAACTGCCGGAGTCTTTTCAAATATTTTCTTTGCTTCAATTATGAGCTTTATTTCTGTCTTGGATTCAGTGAAAGATGCTTTGGTTTGCACCAAGTAATTTTGTTGAGTACAAACTTTTTAATGTAACGTTATTGAACTTTAATATTTGGTTCCGAGGAAGGCTGCAATATACTCAAATTTATCTGATTTTAATTGCTTAAGTGTATCACTTTGACAATCTTAGAGTTTTAGGATGCTGTAAGCTCTAATATAATTAAGCATTTCCCTCTCAAACAAAAATAATTATTAAGCATTTCCTGTAAATGTCTTTTAAGCTGTATAGTGACCTCTTGAATACTACCTCAGTATCTAATCAGGCTGTTAAAAGATAAAATGGTTCTGCACTCCTCTTTCAACTTCCCAATGAGAATTTTTCAGCTGTACTGCACTCGAAATTTTATTACATGTATAAGGGTATTAGAAGCAGAAATTCATCTAATGGTTAGGTTTTGCACCACAAACAGTTCAATTCATGTGTATCAGTAAAATATTTCATGCTTTGATATTTCCTTAAAAGGTTACTTTCTTTTTTAGACTAATATTTTCTCAAGTTCTGACATATATAGTGGACAAAGAAAATTTCTGATACTATGAGTCTAGTCAGGGATTTTAAAAGAGTATTTTCTTCTGTAACATCATAATCTCTGTCATATGATCGTAAATAAGAGTGTTTTAAAAGAGTGTTGTCCGAAAATTTCTGACAAAGAAAATTTCTTGTTCACTTCCATTTATTTAAAATTCAAGTAGTTTCTCTTCTGTTATCTTAAGCAGGTAAAAAGAAATGATACTTTTGAATTCGTTATTTACGTGGATTTAGTAAAAGGATGTCTATTCAGCTTTTGAAGCACATGTCAGCTTACCTAATGTCGTGGCAACTGCTTTGGTCATTCTATCTATGTCTTGATATTCTAGGGGGCCACTATTGTTGATCAAAGCGTATGCATATCACGCTGGGGTACATATGTAGATGAATCTGATATTTGGAGCAGTCCATTATGGAGGATGGAAGAAAATTACAGCTCTACGGTATGTTCATTTCCTTCTCTGCTAGTGGTTATAATTGGTGGCTCACCTCATTATCCACATCATAATCTTTATGTTATGAGTTGAACTTGTCAACCTTGGATATGTACTACGTATTTCAGTTTCAAATTTCCTGCTTTTCTTCAAGTCATTCTTGAAACAGATAATGTTACCTTGATTTTCTTTTGGTCGAGAACCTAGTAGGGAAAGACAGGATAAGTTGACTTCGCAGAATAATTTGCTATAACTTGAAACCTACGCCATCAATTTGGGAAAAGAAAAATGGTTTTTGTTCATACTAAATATAGTATATATGAGTATATAACTATAAATGCATATATACTTGTGAACATATATAATATACATACATGTGAATAGTAATGAAAGTTAAAATATGTTTTCATGTATCAAAAATAATGCTTACCATTCTTTCACCTCTTCCAATATTAGTAAAGGAAAGCACAGTGTGCAAAAATTCATTTTTTTTATCCCCCAAATTTTGTTAAAAAGAGGGAAAAGGAGAGAACTTCAAATTTTTTACAAGTAAATTTTCTAGTTTATTCACAACTGTTTGATTTATTATCTTATTAGTTAAGGTTATTATTGAAAATCTTTTGCTTAATAAAATTTTCTTTCTTAAACTAAAAAAGATATTATAACAATTTTTCACTTCTTTTTTACTTTCTTAACTTTTAGTTATTCAAACAAAAGAAATATTTTCCCTTCCTGTTTAAAAACCCCTCTTTGTTCTTCCCTTTCCTTCACTTGATTCATTTACTAATTTTTATCGAAATGAAGTGTTAGTTCCATAGTATTTTTGCCAATCACCTTATCACTAAGAGGCACTTATGCTTCCGTCTTATGAACTTGGATGACTTTGCTAGCCTGTGAATGATAAAGAACTACCCAGAAGTTCAGAAAAAATCTCTGATTTTGCTTCAAAGGTCTTCCCTATTGTTTCAGTAGTTGCAAATCACTTAAACGAATTTGGTGCTTTGGCCTCATTGATGATCTTTCGGTGTAGAAACCCCGAGATGGTTTTTGTTTGTTAATATTGGTTTTTGACCAGATATATTTTTCAAAAATTTATTGGTTATTGTATTACCAAGTTCCCTTGGTATCTGTAAGCAAATTTTCTGAAGAACTTGATGCACTCTTTATGGTCTCACAAGAAATCCATGTAATTTGTAGGGCTACTCATGGCTATCGTATAAATAATCCATAAATCTTATAGCTCTGGAATAACTCTAATAGGGATTTATAGTCGTAGGAAAAATTTTACTAATTCACTGTGTGCGGTGTAATAGTAAGCTAAAGAATGAGTTATTTTAGCAGGGTACTTATATGAGTAGCTATGCTTCTAGCCCTGGAGAGGCTGTTAGTGTGACTCAGGAAGTGGTGAAAACAATGCTAGCGAAAGGATATGTCCTGGGGAAAGATGCATTAATCAAGGCTAAAGCTTTTGACAATTCATTTCACCTGTCAGCTACCGCAGCAGGCAAGGTTGCTGAGCTAAGCAATAGAATTGGGCTGACCGAGAAGATCTATACGAGCATGGAAACTGTGAGATCTGCAGATGAGAAATATCACTTCTCAGATTTCACCAAATCAGCTGTATTAGTCACTGGAACGGTGGCCCTGACAGCAGCAAAAATTACAGGGAAAGCAGCTGCAGCAGCCACAACTGCTTTTGTGAATAGCAGCTACTTTGCCAAGGGAGCTCTTTGGGTTTCAGATGCTTTGGCTCGTGCAGCGAAAGCTGCTGCAGATATTGGTAGCCATGGTGGTTAATAGCCATAGGATTCAAGTGAAACTGGAAACTGGAACTTTATGTGAGTTTGTATTTTAATGCTGTTTGTGTACAAATAATTAGAGTCTCGTGTTGTATACCAGCCTAGTTAGGAGTTAGCCTCATTTTGTAAGGCTTAGATATGAATAAATCTTAAAACGTCTCTGAGTCTGAGGTTATTGTTTAATTTGGTGAATAATAAGATGATGAATAAAATCTTGTCATCCCAAAAATTGAGATGGCTGTATCAATATTCACTTTATTTATTTATTTATTTTCTGAATCTCTTGAATGAGGAGGTGCTATGTGGTAGCATTAATGTTATTTTCACATTAATGTCAATTAATATATCTGCTGTTTTTATTGTCATCTCTTCTCTGCCAACCATATCTCCGAAATTTTCTTTTTATTTTCTTAAAATTTGGTCCAGTAAATTCTCACCCAGATCTTTGCTATGAAAACATTAGATGCATATGAATATATGTGCGTATAATAATGTAAGAGAAAGTCAAGGTTTTGCTCTGTCTCATCTAGGTTACTGATTGAAACAGGAAAGTTAAGATCACCAAAATTGTATGTGTTATGTATTTTGTTGATTTTCCGGGGAAGGAAAACAAAGTGTACAAGCCTCTCAAGAATATCATTTAAGAAAAACACTGAGTCATGTATCCCTCTTTTAAACACAACTCTGTACAACAAACATCTCACATTGACATAAACAACACTAAAATTCTTCACTCTTGTTTTTTTCTTTTTCTCTTAGATATTATTTTCATCTAATCGCAACAGAGTGGACACCGTATGAGCCCGTTCTCATTACAATCAGGACATCTTTGAAATCCATACTCACCTTCCTCTTCTTCTTCCTTCTCTTGCTC